GACCATAATTCTATAATCACAATATTTTATAGAAATTCCTCCCCTCAAATATTGTTTCCTAGTTTATTGCTTCAGATCACCAATCTGTTATAATGCCTTGCACTTAAACAAGGAAATGCATTAAATATTGCCGTCTTTGATCATCACATAACTTTGATGAGCCTTTCTTGCCATTTAAAGTACCCAAGTATTGAAAATCAGAACAAACAGAGGGATTATTATAAAAGAAACAACAGTACTCTCCCATTCATCTTTGAAAGTAAGAACAGTTCAAAGTAATACACAGAATAAAACAGTGAATTTAACCAAAATGCACACATACACACACACAAAAAAAAAAAAAAAAAGATGCTGGAGGCTACATGATATCATCGCTGTACCCTTCAAAACAGAATCCTATCATTTGGAATTATAACACATTCTTCTTCCACTAAGTCTGCCCCGTGCAAAAGGTATCAACCTTCCAAGGGTGAGAATCCTTCAGAGAAAAGCCCCAAAACACCTTACAAAAATCCTCTCAGGTAAGTTCAGGAAAAAGCATGGAGAAGAGAAGCTAAAGGGATCATTTTTCCAACTGACCAACTCATCTTCAAGGCTTAGAATTTGTATGTAAGTTACATAGACCTTGTTCCTAACACTTAAGAATTCTAGAATACATTGGGCCAATTCACCAACTATTTAGAAGGCAGAGACAGCCAGATGTACTTATTTGTATGAGGCAAAGTTATCATAAACTAAACTAAAAGAGCTAGTTCTTCATGATCAACTCAGTTTACTCCATATAATACCACAGAGAAAAATGAATAGCTCTTTCAAAATCCAATGTCTATAAAGAAAGAACGCCTTGAAGGAAAACGGTACCATACTTAAGGTAGTGGTGTCTTTTATTAGTACAGTAAAGTCCTATTTTTATGGAATAGGATGGGTCTGAGGTCATTCCATAAAATTGATTTCCCAGAAAATGTAAATAGGCAATTTACCCTAAGAATTTTATTGAAAAATTATGCTATTCTATTTGAATAATGATGGGAATGTTCTACACGTTTCCTTTATTAATGAATTAAAATACACAAAACACCATAAAATTATATTAGAGGTTCAAAAGTATCACTTAAATCTTCTTTACCAGTCACTTTCATTTTGTAAAATCAGCAGTTCCATTAAAATCGTATTATGTAAAAATGGGTTTTTACTGTAATAATAGTTATTACCTATTTAGCTTCCAAGGATGTTGTGAAAATTAAATAATAAGCCATTGGAAAGCAAATACAAAGTGTCGCTAATACCAGAGGCCAAGAGGGGCGGCCAGATGGAAAAATGAAGGAAAAAAGCACCTGATACATTACAAATCACAGCTCTCATCTATAATTTCATTACCACCATATTCTACACAGTGACCATGTGCACAATTGCCATCTCATTGAATATTCTTAACGTATGATATATTAATTATAGCCCTCATGTTGTAGATGAGGGTCAGAAAGGTTTCCACCAATGTTACACAGTTGGTAAACATCAGAATCCAATGTGAACCCAGGTTTATCCTAGTTTAACAGCTGAATCCTCAATATCCCCCATGTGCCTCATAACTGCATCCCAACTTCTTACATCATCTTTCAAAATGTTTCAAATGCTTCTTCCTCCATGAAATCTTTACTCTCTCACCTGAGACAGTTTGATTCTAAAGACCTTCTGTGTTTATTATAACTATGTTGTATGATAAGGCATTGTGAGTTTTACTAACTCAGCTAAATCAGCTATTACTGACCAGCTATTTTAGGTCATGGCTGTACCTTACTGTCTCTGGGGCCCTGATCCTAAGTACTTGGCACTTCACCTCCAACACTGGAAATGTTCAGTAAATATTTGTTAAACTGAACAGGAAACGGCTGTTAATTTGAGTTACGTTTGCTAATAGATGCAAGGCAAGTGCTTTTGATAATGTTTCTTTGCATTAGATACCTATTTGAAAGTTTCTTTAGATTTTTCAAGTGTGGTAAGATTAAATCCCTTAAACAGAACATCTAACATACAGTGAATAAGATAATAGATAGATAATAGATAATATTGTTTTTGTTTTCAGTTCTAGTTAAGGGAACAATGTGAATAGCAAACAGAGAAATCGAAATTCAGGATAATATGCAGCCTAATTTAAAATCAGTGCAGGTAAAGGTAGTAACTTAAAAAAAAAAGTATACAATCAAGTATTAGAGTTCTTAACCAAACTCTCTGATTTCCTTCTCCAGCTTCTTTCCTTACTGACTGGGTAAAAGGTGAGCGGGTTACTTAACCTCTCTGTGTTCCAAATTCTCTGTCAGCAAAAATGTGGAAAATAGGAACTTCTTGTATTGTAAGTGTGAGTATTGAGTGAAAAAAATCAACATAAAACACCGAGCACAGTACCTGACGCACACCAAGCACTCAAATGACACTTGCTACCATCATAAAAATCACTTAATAATTTCCAGGAATCTGATCAAAGGATGTTATTTTCCACAGATTCCTAAGGTCTAGTACTAGTATTGTCAAACCCCAGATTCATGGTGTGATTGAATCAGGGTTGGTATCCCTGAGCTCATGCACATCACCTAAGCCACACTTCCTGAGCATCCATCCTGGATCAGACTTAGGTGAAGAAACTTGATTCAAACAGAGTGGGAATGCAGGAAACAGCAAAGCCAAGAAAAGGTGAAGAAGGGTTGAGAGAGAGGCAAAACCACAGGCAGGAAGAGGAGCAAGGCTCTGTCCAGAGGAGGTCAAAGCATCAGGAGGCATTCGCCAAAAGTCAGAAGGGAAAAAAAAAATCACAGCAGCTCCTACACAAGCCTCAAAACTGGGCAGCAGGATGGATTCCAGTGCTACCCGGGAGCAGGTCATTTGCTGGCTTTAGAAGACAGGTTATGTGTGAAGAGGAGAGCACAATGGGCAGAGGTCCAGGATCTGACTCTATGTCCTGTGTCTCTCTTCACTCACCTGCCTTTCCACTTGAAAACTACAAATAATGAACATACTGTGTGCCTTGAAGAGACACTGGCTCTCTTGCTCTCCCCACAGCACTGAAGGGCTAATGAGAAGGTAGCTTACAATTCCAGTGCCCACTGCCCCCTCCCTTGTTCCTTCAGCATAGATTTGTGCTCTTTAAGAGCAGCTTCATGGAGAATTCAGACCCATTTTCTGAGCTAACCATGAAGAAAGGGACAGAGGACGACGGGGAACACCAGGGGCTCCAGGGAGCCAGGGCACAGTGGGCACAGGGAGTGCATTGCCAGGCAGGATGGGCGAGATGGCTCATCGCTCAGCACAAAGGCCCCAGAGGACGCTAAAAGCTTGGCAACCTTCAAAAGCTTCTCTTGCTTCCTGCATGGGGTGGGAGAAACAGCTTGCTTAGTGGGAAAAACCATAGCCCAGGGCGAATCCGCTGGCTAGATTCATCAAAGAGATGGCTGAGACAGAACAGATTTTCCTTTTCCGTATAAGATGACTCACAAGCTTGTTTATTCAAAACGTTACATCCTCCATTGAAGAGAGGTGGATGATGGGGAAGCCGGACGACAATAACTCGAGTTTGTATTGGGCAGTCCACTCCCTCCTGCTCTGCATCCTTCTGTGCGGTTACACAGAGGCATCACCAGGGCCCAGAAGGTGATCAGTGTATTTTGTTTTATTCTGCCTTCATTCTGCCATTGTAAATAGAGCAGACAACATAACTACTTCATTTTATTTTACCCTCAGTCCTTTTAGAAAGAGAAAGTATTGTTTCAGAATAAAGACTTGGAATCTGACTGTTTGGGTTCAAATTCCTCACTCTGCTGAATTTCAAGCTGTGTGACCTTGAATAAGTAACTTAACTGTCCTGGGCCTCTGTGTCTCTGTCTGCAGAAATGCAAATTGTGATATTATTTCCCTTACAAGGTCTTCCTGAGGGCTAATTTAGTACACAGAGAACAGTTTTTGGTACACTATTAGTGCTTAGTATTTGACATTATTATTATTTCACAGATGGCCAAATTTTCTTCCATGACAGATCTTCTTTTAATTCCTATTACCTTAAGAGGTTCAAATTAAACCATAAATGAAATTAGGTCTTTTGGAGGAAATATAATTATTCTATGAAAAATATTTCCTTCTCAGGCTAGGGAGATTTTCTGGAACTATCTTGAACTTTCTTTTAAGGAAGAAGAATGTTGTAAATAAGGGTGTGTGTTTCTGTTTGTCTTAAGAATTATCTTTCTCCTGTACCTGGGTATATGGGAGACAGTTGGAAGTGGATGAACACATGAATGTATGTATGAATGGACAGATAGATATTTTTCTAATTTATTAAACTATTTCTTTTCTATAATTTTGAGAAGTCATGACAATGGAGAGTTTTGTTTTGTTTTCATTTTAACCTCCTTTTTTTTTTTTTTTTTTTTTGGTACTGGGGATTGAACTCAGTGGCACATGACTACTGAGCCACATTCCCCAGGACTAGTTTGTATTTTATGTAGAGACAAGGTCTCACTGAGTTGTTTAGCACCTCGCTTTTTGCTGAGGCTAGCTTTGAATTCATGATCCTCCTGCCTCAGCCTCCTGGGATGCTGGGATTATAGACGTGCACCACCTAAATCCTAAATCCTGTATGTAAAATTCACAAAGGCAAAAATAAGGAGGCATGTATAAGTTGTTCTCCATTTTTCCTTGTGTCTTTCAGACTTAAGAATATTGGAAGCTGTAAATTTGTCCTCTGAAACATTAGAAAGTGATCTAGTTAGCAAATGATTCCCTTCTTTTGGCATGATGATTATTCGTTTCACTTTAATAAACATAGTCCAGACTGTCTGTTCTGGATTTCACTGCATTGTGAGACTCCTATGTTATCTCAAAGAGGGCTATAAAAAAAGTGGTTATTCCTTTCTACTGTCTTTACTATGTTGTAAAATGTAAGTAAAACATAATCCCCAATCAAGTTGACTTGGCTCAGTCTGTCTGTGATTAATCTCATGGGGCGTATCACTCACTGGGTAAAATCAGGACATCATCCCCCGGGCCTGGTATGGTATGGTTGTGTCCTCCCCATCCCTCTTCAACGTCTTGCCATGTTTCAGGAACTGACCACTTTAAAATTGATTCAGGTGCAGAGGTGGAAGCTAAAAAATAAAGGAAAAAAAAAACACAGGTAAATTCACTATAAAACTTCCAAATTCTATCCTTATTTTAGGAATCTGGGGGTATTTTCATCTCCAAAAGTAACCACTTTTTAATACTTCATAAGATTATTTTCTTAGTTTGTTCTTTTTAATTATACATGACTGTACAGTATATTTTGACATATTGGTATGAACATGGAGTACATTTTATTTCAACCAATTGTGTGGTTGTACATGATGTGGAGATTCACTGTGATTTATTCACATATTAACATAGGAAAGTTAGATCCAATTCATTCTGTCTTTCCTATTCCCTTCTCCTTCCCTTCTCTTCATTCTCCTTTGTCTAATCCACTGAACTTCTATCCCCTCTCCCATTGTGTGTTAACATCCACGTATCAGAGAGAACATTCAAGCTTTATTTTGGGGGCCAATTGGCTTAGGTCACTTAGCATAAGAGATCCATCCATTTTCTGCCAAATATCATAATTTTGTTTGTGACAGAGTAATATTCCATTGTATACATATCCCACATTATCTTTATCCATTCATCTGTTGAAGGGTACTTAGGTTGGTTCTGTAGCTTAGCTATTGTGAATTGAGCTGCTATAAGCATGTCTGTGATATGTCTGTGTCCCTATAGTATGCTGATTTTCAGTCCTTTGGGTATATTCTGAGGAATAGGATAAGTGGGTCAAATGGTGATTTCATTCCAAGTTTTATGAGGAATCAATCTCAATACTGCTTTCCATAGTTGTTGCATCAATTTGCAGTCCCACCAGCAATGTATGAGTGTACCCTTTTCCCCACATCCTTGCCAACATTTGTTGCTTGTGGTCTTGATTATTGCCATTCTGACTGGAGTGAGATGAAATCTCAGTATAGTTTTAATTTGCATTTCTCTAATTGCTAAAGATGTTGAACATTTTTTCATGTATTTGTTGATCGACTATTTCTTCTTCTGTGAAATATCTATACCGTTCCTTTGCCCATTTATTGATTAGATCTATTTGGGTTTTGCTGTTGTTGTTATTGTTGTTGTGTGTTAAGTTTTTTGAGTTCTTCATCTATCCTGGAGATTAATGCTTTGAGGTGCAGGTGGCAAAGATTTTCTCTCATTCTATAGACTCACTCTTCACATTCTTGTTTTTTTCCTTTGCTGTGACAAAGCTTTTGAGTTTGATTCCATCCCATTTATTGATTGTTGTTTTACTTCTTGCACTTTAAGAGTCATGTTGAGGAATTCAGTTCTTAAATTGACATGATGGATTGTTGAGCCTACTTTTTCTTTAGTAGATGTAGGGTTTCTGGTTTAATGCCTAGGTCTTTGATTCACTTTGAATTGAGTTTTGTTCAGGATGAGAGGGACTCACATTCTGCTACATATAAATTTTCAGTTTTCCCAGAACTATTTGTTAAAGAAGTTATCTTTATTCAAATGTATCTTTATGGCACTGTTGTCTAGTATGAGATAACTGTATTTATGTGAGTTTGTCTCTGTGTCTTCTATTCTATCCCTTGGTCTTCATGCCTGTTTTGGTGCTAAGAGCATCCTTTTTTTTGTTACTATAGCTCTGCAGTATAATTTAAGGTCTGCTATTGTAATGCCTCCTGCCTCACTTTTCTCATTAAGGATTGCTTTGGCTATTCTGAGTCACTTATTTTTCCAAATGAATTTCATGACCTTTTTTTCTACTTCTATGAAGAATATCATTGGAATTTTAAAAACAATTGCATTAAATCTGTATAACACTTTTAGTAGTATGACTATTTTGGCAATATTAATTCTGCTTATCCAAGAACATGAGAGATCATTATATCTTCTAAGGTATTCTTCCATTTTTTTCTTTAGTGTTCTGTAGTTTTCATTGTAAAGGTCTTTCACCTTTTTTGTTAGATTGACTCCCAGTTTTGTTTTTGTTTTTGTTTTTAACGCTTGGAATAAGATAGTTTCTCTAATTTCTCTTTTAGCTGATTCATCATTTAAGATGATGAATTGATTTATGGGTATTAATTTATTTTCCTGCTAATTTGCTGAATTTTTTAATGATTTCTAGAAGCTTTCTGGTGGAGATTGTGGGTCTTCTAAATATAGGACCATGTTATTGGTCAATAGGGATATTTCAAGCTCTTTTCCTATTTGTATCCATTTAATTTATTTCTTTTTCCTAATTGCTCTGGCCAGAGTTTTAAGGATTATGTTGAATAAAAGTGGTGAAAGAGGGCATCCATGTCTTGTTCCAGTTTTTAGAGGGAATGCTTTCAGTTTTTCTACATTTAGAACAATGTTGGCTTTGGGTTTAACATATATGCTTTTACAATGTTGAGGTATTTTCCTACTATCCCTAGTGTTTCTAGTGTTTTGAACATGAATGGATGCTGTTTGTCAGATGCTTTTTCTACATCTATTGATATAATCATGTGATTCTTGCCTGTATGTCTATTGATGTGGTGAATTACATTTATTGATTGCTATATGTTGAACCAACCTTGAATTCTTGGAATGAAACCCACTCGATCATGGTGCACTATATTTTTAATGTGTTTTTGTATGTAATTTGACAGTAAAATTTTATTAATAATTTTGCATCTGTATTCATCAGGGATATTGATACTTTATAAGATTTCTATTAAAAATATTTATCACCTAGAAAATAATTTCTCAATTCTTTCATTATCTCCATTTCTGGGAAAAATATATTCCAAACTTATTTAAATATTTGAGTTTTGCTTTATTATAAATATCACATATGCTTATCACAGAGTATTTGGAAAATTTCAATAATGAAAAAATAGTAATTACCTATAATGTCACCACCTCATAGTGGTAACTGCTATCAACCCTTCATTGGTGTTTCCTTCTAGAATTTATCTGCATTTTTATATAGTTGAATGATAGCATAACCATTTTTGCTTAGCCATTTTCCTATGCATTTTCTAATGTCTTTAAAATTCCTTGTGAACATAATTTTAATAATTACTAATATTCTATCATACCAAAATCTATAATTTATCAGATATGTGGTGCACACCTGTAATCCCAGCATTTTGAGAGACTGAGGCAGAAGGACCATCATTTATTTAAGGCCAGCCTTAGCAACTTAGTGAGACCCTGTCTCAAAATTTAAAAATAAATAAAAGGGGCTGGGGACATAAGTTAGTGGTGGAGCACCCCTGGGTTCAATCCTCAATGCAAAAAAAATCTATAACTTACGTTCCATAATGTCACTGATGTCTGACATTTAGGATCTTTCCACTTTTCTTTTAATTGTAAGTAATAGGGTATGATCTATCTCTCTATGTAAATCTGCTAATAGTCCTGATTATCTTCATAAAAAAGACTCCTTAGTACATGACTAAGCCAGTGTGATCTCCTTACAGCTCTTAACACATATCAGTGGCAGGATAGTGATCTGGGCACTTCTCAGGGCAATAATTTACACAGAGATCATATGTTCCAGTTAGCTCTCTCTGATTCTAACTCTGATGATGAAATGGCATTCAACCATTCCACTGGCATCTCTATCAAAGAATCCAAATGTGAATGTAATAGAGACTTCCAGTATCACACCATGTACAACAGCACAATGAACTTTATCCTCTTGTTCTTTTCTGGGATCACTGGGACAGAGTCAGATGGGCAGAAAGACTATTTCAAAAAGTAAGATGAAAAGCCCTCCTCTTTTGATGGGTGGAGTGAATCCCACCTATTACTGGCTAAATTTGCAAGCACAAATAATGAGCACCTTTCTTCTTAGAACTGCCCTAAAAGTGTAAGGATACAAAAAGGACTAAAATATCTCTGGGCTGCCGAGGAGCTAATACCGTCTTGTCATGAAATATTGGGAGAATCAAAACATGCATGTACACAGAGGTGTTTTCTTTAATAGTACCTAACAAAGGAAGGAAGCAAGACTTGGCCAAAAGAAGCTTCCTGAAGGAGCCATAAGTAACTGAGCAGTATTTCTAAGAACTTAGAAGCTATAGGTGGTCAGGCATGGTGGCACACACCTGTAGCTACTCAGGGGGCTGAGGAAGGAAGTTCAAGGCCAGTCTGTGCCATTTAGCAAGAACTTGTATCAAAATAACATAAAACAAAAGGACTAGGGATGTAGCTCAGGGACAGAACATTTGCCGAGCATATGCAAGGCCCTGTTCAATCCCCAGAAGGGTAGGAAAGAAAGAAAAAGAAGTTACACAGGTAAAAAGATGTTGTGGTTGTAATAAAGGTATGGGAAAGGGTTTGCACCATAGATGGAGGAAGGAACATAAGCAAAGACAAGAAACAAGAGATCAAGTCAGGGAACCATAGAGACCTAATGTTGCTGAATTACAGAACTAGCAGGAGGTAAATGCTGAGGTAGGAGAAAAGATCAGAGGCCAAAGTGCAAAGGGTAATGAAGGCAGGGGGACCCAGAATTTCCAGAAGTTGATGAATTCTATCAACTTCTATATGAATTGTCCATATAGAGTCCAGAATACCTCTGAAGTCTCCAGGTGAAAAAATATGACAAGCAAGCAGTGTATGAACCTGAATCTGAAAGCTGAGAGACAGCTTTGAGTCAGAGACAGAGAGAGAGAGAGAGAGAGAGAGAGAGAGAGATTTGGCATCATCTACCCAGAGATTGTATTTTATCTCCAATGATGATTGCGGTAGCTCCAGAGAGTTGCAAAGTGAAAAGAGAAAATGTCTGATGTCAGAACCTTAGGGAACATTCAGTTACTATTTTTCTGCCAGCACTCAATTTCCCAGTAGCCATGGTCTAATTAGAACACCAGGATAAGTTGAAAGTACGGAGATTGTGGCCAAGCGGAAATCATAGGCAATTTAATTACCACAAAGTACACCATACACCATGGCATAATGTCTTGGATTAAGCCTCACTCAAAAGAGGTTTTTAAATGTTTTATGAACATCTACCCTCTAATGCCTTCCCAAGCCTTCTTCCAGTTTTCCCTCCTTCTCAGTGTTATAACTGAATATCCAAGTGGGAATCTGATAAGAGAAACTCCTGGGGTGGCCACTAACTCACACCACAATGGCCAGACAGGATGTTTCTAATGCATTTTTAGTGATATTTTAAAGGGGCAATGGCTAGGTTCTTTAAAACTCCATGCCAAACCTCAAATACCCTTTGTTACTTCAAATTTATATCACAGATAGTGGTGATATAAAGTAATATCACTTCTGTCATTTTCAATCAAGCTTATAGGAGGGGTAAAACTATTTTTAATTGAACAAACCAGACCTTCAGGTTGCTATTTTAACTAGGAAATGTTATGTGCAAAGTTGACCATTTTACATACCATCCTGCCTCAAGATTAAAACATGTTTCAGTCCCTTGTTGGGTAATTAGATTTCTAAACAGTTAATACCAGGCTTCTACCCCATATGACTATTACTGATATTGAAAGCTGAAGACAGAAAAAGGAGCCAACAAGAGCAACAGTCAGAGATACAGTGTTCATCTTTCCTTAGAAGCCTAAGAAATAGCAGTCCAGAGGGCAGAAGTGATCTCATTAACAGCAAAGTTCGGGTAAAAGAGGGAATTAGAAGTGACCATTGATAGTATCAGGGCTTGGGTGATCAAGACATGAGTGGCCCCTGTGGAGTGGTGGAGGAGGAAACCATATTGCAGTGAACTGTGGAATGCACTGGAGGGGAAGAAGGAATGATGTTGGGTCAGATCTTCCCAGAAGTTCACTGAAGAGAGGACAGCTTTCAGATTTCAGACTCTCAGTCTGCCTTCCCAGTCACTGAAGAATGAGACTTCTTTTCAAACTGAAGTCCACAAAGTTTGCAGGACCAGCATTTATAAGAAGGTGTCATTCTGTTTCCCTCTAAAAGTTTGTCACTCAAAAGTAGCCAGATTGGAGATGGTCTCAAGCTTGACATGTGAGTCAAATATTGCCTACCATGCCTTCACTTGCCCCACTTTTTGTGGCTTTGCATCAAAGGGATGCTAGCCTTTCGGGAAGTTTGCAGAAGAGATATCAACTAAAGGAAGATTTCCTTTCCACAATGTTTTGGGTGAGGGGTGTCTGTTTTTCATTGAGAAGCCTTGAACACAAGGAATTAGCAAACAAAAAAATCAACCAGACAGGACAGAGTCGTTATCTGATAGGTAAAGTTCAGCAGATGCTGGAAAGGATAGGCTGGCTTCAAACAAGAAAGGGACTGATTCTCAGAGTCCAGAGGAAAGAATATAAATTTAAGTCTATGGGGAAAGGATTGACAAACTTAGGAAGAGACTGTCTGATGATGTTCTCATGTGATTGTGGACATTATTTGCCAATTAGCCTCCCAACATGACAAAGTGATTGAAGCACAGACTTTTCAGAAATTTCTTCATCTTTCACCAAATGAAGAGGGAATTGCTTCACTCATCCTTTTCTCTCCTGTCTTGTATACAGTATAGTATGGTGGACATTGAGAGATACCAGTAAAGCTAAATGTTAGAGAAGCACCAAAGACCTGCATTAGGCTCTTCAAACTCATGGTTCCTCCTTAAATCAAAAAAACAGCCTCCATTCTCACCAAAACCACTAAGCTTTTATATAGCAACTTACACCACCACCACCTTCTCTGCCTTTCTCTGATATTGGCCCATATGTACCCTAGTTTCTGCAGCCCTGAACAGTTCAACAATTTCTTGTCCACAATGCCCTCACAATGACAGCACAATTTTGTACACAAAATAGGCCCTCAATTGACTGAGTGAACTGAGAGGGTCTCTCTGCAAAATATGTCTCCCAAATATTTCATCAGTATTACTTACTTGTATTAAATAATTGAATGGGTTGACATAGAGAACTCCATTATTCATTCTATTTTTTTGTGGCAAAGGATTGTTGATATTGCAATAATTTTATTGTTTTCAATATGACCCTTCCTTCACTAAATAAAATATACTCCCATATTTAAGTTTTGGCATTAGCATATATATATATAACCTATACCATAGGAATCAGGCAGTGTCTTGGACCCATATTATTTGAAATTTCTTCGTAATAAATGATAATATGCTAGTTCTAATTAAACTAGAATTTAGTTTAATTCATAAGTTAATATATGTCCAAAAAAAGTAATTTAAACACATCAGAGGCTGCATGAGATAGCATAAAGAACACTGGACTGAGTTGGGACATGTGAGTTCTTTCTAGGCTCAAACACTAAGATATAACTATGGAAACTGTTTAATCTCCAGACTCCCACACCCTTTGTAAAGTAAAGCAGATTGGATAGGAATACCTATATGGTCCCTTTTCTTATTACAATCCTACTACTTGGGCTAGAGCTTGTGTGGTGTGCATAAGATCCAGGTTCAATCTCCAATACCTTAAAAAAAAAAAAAAACTACTCTATGAAGCATTGACTTCCTATTTACCCAGTGTGTTGTCTTTGACAAAGTGAAACTTCTGAAATGCCTCAGCTGCTGATCACCCAAGCTGTCCTTCCACAGAATCCCTAATACAGAAATCTTCACATGAGGAACTGCATGACATGCTACCCTGACTATAAATGATTGAACTAGAAAAAGGTCAGTCTGGTGTTCTCTTGAATGCTTCCCCAACATATGGCCTCTTCAAAGTAGGGGCTCAGCCAATCCATTAAAATCTCTTAGGGAATTTGAGTATAGGACTTTCAAAGAGATAAGAGTTACAGGGTACCTTTTCTTTGTTACAGTTATTTTGAGGAAATTAGTCACCTGTTTGAGATCCATCCCCAAGTGACAATAAAACCCCATGAGGTCAAAGACGATTCCATCTTGTCCATTATTGAATCCCCCATACCTCATTCAGAGGCATTCAATAAACACATTTTAAGCCAGCAAAAGGAAAAGAGGGATTAAAAACAGAGGGAATAGAAAATAAAGTACTATAGAAGCTCAGAAAATGTTACAAAAACAATCTCACTTTATACTCTTCATTGCCCAAAAAGCATTGACTAGAAGCCATTAGTTCTTTTAGTTCATAGTTTTAGTCCAATATCTTTGCCTCATTAATTTATTAATTCAAATGAAGGAATTAGACAATTTTCTGATTATTATATATGGGCTGTTCTGACATAACACAAAATGACACTGAAAATCAAGGAAAACTCCACCTCTGAAAAGATTTATCCCTTCTGCAAACATAGTGTTAAACTGACTCAGGGTAAACAAAAACAAACCATGAAATACATTAAACGGTTGTTATGAGACATTCAGATTGTGAGAATTTGGCTTTTTTGAGTTAAAGTTCACAAAATCATCTGACTTTGGGGGAGGGTTTGTTTACCCGTTTTTTCTGAAATTACCAGGAACAATTAAAGTTTAGATACCCTGAATTTTTCTTTCCATTTAGAGGGGGCCTAATGGCCCATCTGCAGATCTGGAGTCCTATGTGCACATATGGTCCATAATTTATGAAATGTGCTTATTTACATGTTTTAATTATTACTTTCTATTGTTTTGACAAATAAATGTACCCTTATATCTTTCTTTGACATGCAGACACATATTTTAGTTATAGGGTAACACAGTAGAGAATTGTCAGGCATAAACACATTAGGGCTGATATTTTCTTGTTTATAAATACAATGAGGAGAAGTTTACAACTACTAGAGGACATTCTTCTGTACCAGGCACTTCCATTCAGTGGGTTGATACTCACCTGAAATAGTTGGGGGCACACTTTCCTTCACTAGGAGAATCACTTGAACTTGACCTTCACCTGCAACTGAATATAAAAAGCCACAACATGGATGTCACACAAGGATCATCTTAATATTAAGGAAATTCATTTGTGAGAAAGATGACTTTACATGTGCTTCCCAGACTAACTAAATTTTCAGAATAAAAATAAATGATGTCCTTGTTAGTTAACCTAAAAATTGATTTCTAATATTTTATTTTGATTGCTTTAATTTGATTTAGCTTAATTACAATGAGTTTATCCAAGAGAACTAGCAAATAATAGTTGAGGAACAGGGGGACTTTTAGCCATATGTGCTTAGAAAGCCAATGGTGTCCAGTAGGTCAGTCCCCATATCCTATTTTGTCTTCATCATTTTGTAGGCTCACTTTTCAGAATTCATGTGGTTTTTGCCAATATAATTCAGATCACCCATGAAATGTATTTGCTTTACCTTTATCCAAACAAATTGCCCTTTTAATGAAGTCTTTTCCCCCACCCCCTTTTTCCTCCCATCTTCCAAACCAACTGAGCACATTTAAAAGACCTGGGGTTCATTAATTTTAAGTGTTCAATAAATTAGTGGAAATAATCAAAAGGCCTGATTCTTTCTGATAATGACAATTTGATGTCAGTATAAACCAGTAGATTAAGCTGGGAACATATGCTCCTTTGCCAAGAGAGGCTGCTATAATTAAATAGTGAATGCATCTACAAGGTGCTCTCACGCCTGATTAATTAGTAATCAGGTGCGCGAACTCCATTTTTCTGGTAACACCTTGTCTCTTATTGGTTAATTACCTTTCTGCCTTATCAGATTTCAGGTGAGCTGACACCTCCCACCACTGGAGGGCCCAATGCTGGGGTCTTGGTCAAAACCCTGCTCTCCATTTTTGTTTCCTTGGGACCCTAAACCCTTTCTTCCATCACAGATGGGATAGACTAGAAATCATTCTTTTTAATGACAAAGCATAAGCTTCAGAACATTACAAGGAAAATAATCCTTAAAAAGATTAATGATGAGAGCTCTCCAATTCTTATATTCTTATTTTGATCATTTTCTAATTTAATTTTTTTTCAATAATAAAATGCATGAGTCTTGACTTTCTCTTTGTACTGTCACATCCTGAGACCAGGCACAATGACAACATGCTCTTGATGTGTTCCATTTTTATCACTACTTCCAAGACTTTGCTTATATTGTTCCTTTATCTTCTTGCATATTTTACTCACCTTTGTAACATAAAATAATAATAATAAAGCCACAAATCAACCATCTCATCTCTTTTAATCTGTAAGTTCTGACATATCCACTTTTGTGTACACTGATCTATACATTTTCTAAAAGTTGAAAAGCCCTTCCAATTCTATACTATGACATTTATCCCAAATTTGTTCTCAACTCAATTCCTAGTTATTGATTAGCAACAGTTCATTTAGTATTGCATCAGTAATTAGCTTTGTCTTCATATTTTGTTTCATTTTGTGGTGCTGGGAAACAAACCCAGGGTCTTATACATGCTTAGAAACGAACCCAGGGTCTTATACATGCTTGGCAGGTGCTTCTTCTGAGCTAAACCCACTGGCTCCAAATATTCAAGAAAGGGATTTTTCTTATGTATGTTATGACCCTAAGTAGTTCTGGAAAGGTAGAGACTTCATATTCATGGGCCAATTTAGAAATCTCAAGTTTACAAGGCTCTACTCTGAGTATCCAGTACTCAGAAGGAAAAGACAATAATAGACAAGATGGCATCATCAGAAAACATGCAAAGATAGTAACAATGGAATGCCTTTCTTCAAGATGAGGGATTAAATGTTGCCATAAAATCAAACTCTTTTTTTAAAATATTTATTTTTTAGGTGTAGATGGACACCACACAATGCCTTTTATTTTTATGTGGTGCTGAGGATCGAACCAAGGTCATACCCATGCTAGGCGAGCGCTCTACCGCTGAGCCACAATCCCAGCTCCTAGAATCAAACTCTTAAGGAAGGGAAATTAAAAAGAAGTCCAGGAAACATTTGGAAAGAGAAATCAGTTCATTTAAAGATGTTATAAAAAATCACTCTTATTTAATGGTTTCTAAGCAGCATAGATTTCAGTACCCTCTTCTTTACGACAGAGCCAGAGGTAAGGGAAGTACTAACAAGTTTTTACAATGATTTATTCAACCTAAAGTAAGTAAAATTATACCTATAAGAGAATAGTTGGGGGAAAGGAAGATTCACAGCTCTTTTTCCCACCACATAGATGAAAAAATTAAAATAGAGGTAAAAGAACCAATGTATCCAAAATCCCTTGAGTGAGAAGGGATTTGGCAAGCAACCTTGAGCTGCAGATCTAATTGCACTGACTTCTGGGACTCAGGAAGCACATCCTCCACACATCTAGTATCCATCAGAGGCTGCTCCATTTGTCCTCTTTTCCCTTATGCCTGTACCCAGGTACTATTCCTAGTAAACAGAGGCTTCCTGGTGCAGTGCGTGACAAATGTGGAGCTGTCACTGCGCCCTGTGGATAGCTCCTGCACTGAGTGGCCAGTGATTTTCTTGTCTCTACATATGCACAAATGCCCCCTCACCTCTAGGAGGAACTCTTCCCCAAACAGACATTGAAAAGCTAAAAGGCATATTAAAAATCTATTAGTCATCCTTTAAAGTTAAGTGTCAGAAGGCCATGAAGCAGTTTCAGTATCAAAAAAGACAGAGACATTATCAAAAGTAGGAAATCTTGGCAGAGTATGACTTTTTACACCACTGCTCTCTATGTGCCTCTGGGGCTGGTTCTGAACCTGTGAACACAGGTTGCAAGAGGAAATCTTCCCAAACACCATTTCCAAGTCAGGAGTGACAAGGGAGAGTGGTGGGGGAAATGTGGAAGGGTCCCTAGCCAAGATTTGAATATTGGCTCTTCCCCTTCCTGGAAAAGGACAAATGACAAGTTAGCTACCATTTGTGAACCTCACACAATTCATCAGAAAATGGGAAAATCATACTATTTACTTTCTAGGGTTGTTGATTAAAAGAAAAAAAAAGTGAGATATTCTATGGAACATGCTTAGTACAGGGCCTGGGACATAGTGAACAATAAACATTAGCTATTATCAACACTACCATTATGGCATGCACGTTATGCTAGGCACCAGTTAACAAGGCTCAAGAAATATGCTTTTACTTTCTTTCCGCTCTTTTTACAGCTGCACCTAATCATGATGAGCTGCACTATTACAGAGTTGTAAGCAACTTAACGAGATTTGCTAGTTTGCTAAGTATTTTGACTCTAAAAGACTGTAAATGTGAAATGTCATTTCCAATTTGAATAAGTATAAAGAGGAATGAAAGTCATTTAAGAATAAAGGTATGGACTTGGGAAGAGTTTTCCCAAGCCTTCCACAAGCTGTGCCATTGTAGGCATGCTTTCTGGGTGCTTCGAATTTCTGATTTTATATTCATAATATGAGAATGGTTAATCTTCCTTGTTTGTAAATGAAGTCCCATGGAGTTGATCCTTCCTAGATTTTAAGAACTGGTTCTCCAAAAGAAGGAAAGCATTTGACTCAATAATTGTCATACTCTTCTGATGAATACTATATGATCTAAGCTAGCTATAAACACAACCATGTATGAGGAGGAGAAAAATGTGCCAAGAAATGGCACCTGGTAAGAGGAAGGAGAGTTATCCAAGTAGATGCCATGCAAGTGCCTACAGGGTGAGGTGCTGTATCTGGTAAATTTTGTCCCCTCTAGGGTGCTAGGGAAGAAAATAAATAATTCTTCCCTAACAGGTCTCATTCTCTTTTGAAATTTTGGAGGGAGAAATAGTACCTATTTAAAAAGAAAAATGCATGTGGCATCTTAGTAAGCCGCGGACTCCTTCCCTATTTGACTCTTCCCTTCATATCCCAGGTCTCACTTTGACACTTCAGTTTATTCACCTTTTAGAACTCCTCATTGAGTCCACATTAATCCAATAAGTCAGCCACTGACCACACAATGAAAAGAACGCAGAATAGCAAACTGCAGTTGATTTCTACAAACCGTATCCCACCCTGGCTCATGGCTTTGCTTTCTGTTTCTGTCTGCAGTTGACCCAGGACCCAGCTTTGACTTCTTGACATAGCTGTTGGATCTAGTCCTCTCTCATCTTAGCTTGCCATGTCTGCTATCTCCACCTCTTCTCCTCAAAACTGCCTCATATACCTGCATTCTCCTGCTGTTTGCCTTGTCCTGCTGGGTGTACTTAAACTCATTCCCCAGAAGCAAACCATTTTTATTTAGTGGCAGAAAAGGCTTGCTTGTCAATTGGTCCCTGGGCAGCTTGATTCATAGGACCAACACTCCTGTTATGAATTCAGCTTCACAGAGACAATCATGAAAGTCACCTTGGCCCTCATAACACATGGTCCTTTAAAGACCTTCGTGGAAATACAATATGACAATCCTGTGATCACCTTAGAGTCTTCTATTAACCCCAATAGCATTCATTCATGAAAGAGTGTAAGTTTTTATGTGTAAAAGAATTTGATCAAGACGTCGACAGATATATCTGAATTACCCACGGTCCTGAGAGCTAGCTCAATTAAACCTTCTTAATTAACTCAGAGAACAATAGCAATTGTGGCACTGACTCAGAGGGATGTTTACCACACTTATGTGGAGGCATTCATGACATCTTGAGTTTCCTGCAGACCTACAGAACCACAAACTTCAGGGAGGGACCTAGGAACAAGCATTCTGCCAGCTTGCCCTTAAGATAATTTTTAAAAATGCCAATTTAAGGCATTATACAACTTCTCTTGTACCATACTCACACATGGCACGTTCACAAGAGCAGGTGTGCTTAACAAGTGAAGAGAAAGACCCTGATAGAAAAGATCCTTATATAGCCACCTTTTATGAACTCAACCAAAACCTTGCAGACCACCACGTTATATTCCCTAAATATACAACATGTAGTGACCATCTTGATGGCATAAAAAGTTTTGTTTTAGTGGCTATGAATTTTAAGGTATTTAGAAAAAAGAACTAGCCCATTAAATCCA